TTTTTTCCTTTTCTTTTATCTTCTTTTAAACCAAATTAATGTATCTTCAAAGGGTGTTTTAATTAATAAGAATTGATTCAAATTAAAAATTTTAATCTCAAGTCTTAAAGTACATGATTTAAAAAAGAATAGGATTATTTTTTCTGTATAACTTCTACCATTAGATTTAAAGAAAAGAAAAGGGCTTACTTCTTTTTGTTGTGCTAGACTGCTAGAGCACACCAAAAATTTTAAAAGAAATTAAAGGTTAACCTGTAAAAGGCATCAATTTATTTTTTTAAAAAAGGGAAAAACTGGATTTGGTTTTGAGCACCGAAAGAGCACTCAATTTATAGCCGATTTGAGAAGAGATTTGGGAGAAGTGGAGTCCACACCACACAACACATGACAACAAGTTGTCAATTCCTGGACGAAATTTCAAAAGGAATTTGGAGAGTGAAGAAGTTAAAGTGCGATCAGACTTTGAGACAGGGTTTGGTTATATGAACCTCAAATGTGAATGAGAAAGATACGCGAAAATTTGGAAAGTGTAACATATCTTCGGACCAACTTTTCAAAGCGAATGTGGATCACGAGTTTTCACCACATTATTATCACAATAAAGTTCCTCATCAGGTGCTCTGCCCTCCACTCTACCCCCTAGCTTCTTGCTCAATCAAATTTCATTTTCATCACCCAATTATTTCCACCCAAGTTGCCAATCATAAAATCAAAGGAAATAATAATAATAATAATAAATTTTTATTGACAAATCTATTAGTAATTTGCTTATCATTGCATATGTTGAACCTCTTACATGTATACTTGACTTTAAAATCAAGTTCTTTTTTTTCTTTTTTCTTTTTTCTTTTTTCTTTTTTCTTTTCTTTTCTTTTTTTTTTTTTTTTAAATTCCAACCATATATGTATATCTTATGGTTGGACAATCGATTTAAAATTAGTGATTCAAACTAACCTTGATGCCATTTAATTATTTGGACTTTATAACTCCACATGATATTCCCTGAGCTATGCTTATGGTCGCATATTAATTACATATCTGGGCTGATGGAGCTAATGTTAGGGTTTAGATATATGGCCACCATCATCTGGCATTATGGTTCCCAATATCCCACTTCGAAGTCTTTTATAATTAGTTTGTATGTAAAGAGAGAGACATAAAAGGACCTATATGTTACCTATATATTTATGTCTAGGGCATGCATTACTCTCCATAATAGCACACGGAATAGTAATTTAGAATACACTATTCATGTATATATATTGGGGTAAATTAGCTAAGAGAGCTATATATAGCCTAGCTGCCTAGTTACTGCAATGAAATTTCCTGTTGCATATATAACTCTTCAACTATTGTGTACATCATCTGACTATAATTAATTATTTTCTACTTTAGTACCATTCATTGAGATTAGGGCAGCATATATATATTGATATTTACTATCAGAAGATCAGGTCTTATTTTGAAATTAATTTTTTATGAATATTTTTAAAGATATATTCCTTGTATCAATCTAATGTATTAAAAAAAATAAATTTTCTTAAATATTAAGTTTTAGACTTAAATCCTTAAAGTACTTAGCACAATATATATGTATGTATAAAGATTAATGGGTATTAATTTATATTGTAAAAAATTAAATAAAAAATATATTGAAATTATATCATTTTAATAAAGTAACATAAAAAAAATTAAAAACAACATTATTATTGTTTTAAAAATTAAGATATTTTAATTTTTTTAATAAAATTTTATTAAAATCACGAGATTTTAAAATGTTTTTTTATTTAATTTTTTACAATATAAACTTATACCTACTTTTCCAATATACTTTTCTTTTATATATATAAAATGGATTTGTGCCATCTGATTGGTTGCGTAGGGGAAGAAAAATCTGAAGGCCAATTTGATGAGGACTAATTGTTTACCGACGGAGCAGAGGGGGGACCCCACGGGGACAGGAACGTGTACTGCGTGGTTGCTATCCCTAACTCTATAATGGATGAAAGCCATGGGTGTGTTGAAGAGATAAGAAAACAGGCGCTTTTGTCTGGAATTGATGAAACCATGGTGCAGTTATTGCTCTCTCAATGCCGCCATGAGTTTGTTAATTTCCAACAAATTATATTAATTTAACTAAAAGGCAGCCTGCAAGCATATATATGCATGCAGATGCAGAGTAACAGCTAGAGAGTTGAGTAATTAGTGGTTACAGCTTGGCAGATAAGTTAAATTTTATATAAATAAATAAATAAATATATATATATATATATTATAGTGAAGGTACAGTGAAACCTGAAAAAGGGAAGGATGATATATATACTGTTTGGCACCATAAAGCTTGAATAAGATAAAGAGAGGGATACCATATATATATATGCCAAGAAAAGATAAAGGGAATGGAGGGTACCTAGAGCTATTGTAGGGCTATTGAAGAAAGCGACCCATCATCCCAGCATCAACGGTTTTGATCAGATTTGAGCCAGTCTGGCCCACTACGCAAATAAATATATACAGTAATGATCACACTATATAGAAAATTATACCATGATCAAGAACAAAGACATCATACATACAAATACATATTTATAGAGTAAAAGTTCGTAATTAGTATGTATGTATGTTGGTGGTTTCTTCTGCTTCTGCTTCTGCTTCTGCTTCTGCTGGTGTCATGCACACTGGTGCGTGTGTGTGTGTGCGCATTATTATATAGCTGCAGCTAGCCCTAAGTCTGCCCATATTAGAAAAAAAAATTATTTGGGTATCCTCTCTAGTCTCTATGCCTCCATTTGAAGTTCCCTTTTTCAGCTACCAGCTGGATTTATTGGCCCTGCAATCCTGCATCCTCCCAGCTAGATAGCTTCTACAGTTATGGTACATATTTATGGACCCACTTTTATCATCTAAAGTAGTACTTTAATTAAATTAATGTATACTCTCTGCAATTAATTTCAATATACATACATACATATATATATATATGTATACGCCTTAATTAATTATGCAAAGCAAAACCCTAGCTCTAAGTTTTGCTCAATGTATTGCTGAAAAAGGAAAAGGAGAATTCCCTGGAAATTAATCATGGAGTATTGTTGAAGTGAGATTAACAAGGCGGTGAGTGGAAAATAATGGTGGCTGGAGCAAGGAGACAAAAGGCCAACAAAAGAGAATAAACCGCCAACTGGACGGTGGCGATCCAGCAGCTAGTCTGGGTTGTGGGTACGGTTACGGGTACCCTAGCTAAAGGAGAGGTGGTCCTAAACCTCTGGAGCTACTGTGCCCTCAATAACACAGTTAATTTGCTAGTGTCTCTAAATATATACCACCATTTTACCAACGGTAATATATATAATGTAATATAATATAATTAAAGAAATTAAATTATAACCATGAAAAAAAAAAGGAATTAAATTATAAATCCCCATAATTATTTAATTTAATAACCTTCCATAAATGGGAGGAGAAATGAGGAGCTTTCATCTGAGTAAATGATGAAAGAGAGAATAAAATTAAAAAACAAAGAAGAAGAAGAAGAAGAAGAAGAAAGAGGTCCCCATGCATATATTTATATATACAGAAATAGGGTTTTGTTTAGGGGGACTAGTGCTTTAGCTTTAATAACTTTAAAGGGCAGCACAGGAACAGGAGCAGAGGGGTTGGGGTGGGGTGGTTCTTTGATGTTTACTTATGATATTTCCTCGTAAATTCTCGATAACTGTTACTTACAACCTGTTTGTTTATAATTATATAAATGTGGACATTTTGAGCACGTTACCCTTCTCAAGTTAAGCTGATGCACCCCCTACACCCCTATGCATCAACACAAATGTATAGGAGACGATGGTAAAGGAATAGTATCAGCTTTGCTTTGTGTTGCTTTTGCAGTTTCAGCATTTTGTTTTTTTTTTTGTCATACGGAAGAGGGCAGATTTACTTTGCAGCCGCATCACTTTAAGGTGCGCGGAAAGGATAATGCACTTTATCAACCCGTCTGGAAATTTAGTGTATTTATCTAAACAGTAAGTAGTAATTATTTTTTTTTTTTTTGGTTTTTTTTTATGAACTGACTAGTAAAGATTTTATTTGGTTTGTGAGTAGTGTTTATTTTTCTGTCATAAGAATATGGAGCTAGTGGCCTAGTGGGCGCATTACTAGTATGGTCTCTTTCATTTAGATGCTAGAGGTTTTGAATTCAAGATATATTGTTTGAGTCAAATATGTGGAATTGGTTAAAAAAAAATTAAAAACAAATAAACTAACATGTAATAGTTGTATTATGAGTAAGTAAATGTGATTTGTAAGTTAATACTTTCCGGTTTAAAGTCTTGAGACCAACATTAAGGAAATTTAATTTTCTTAATTATTAATTGTACTAGACGAATGGAAGAGTACACTAGTTTTGATACTAAGATAATTTTGGAGAAATTAATCTTAAAATACACATAAATTTACTTGAAAGCACCCTTACCCCTTGTTTAATTGGTTTAAGAAAAATATAGGGGATGGAAGGGAAGGAAGGGAAATAAAAGTAAAAAAATATCTTTCCATCTCTCTTTGGACACTTATTAGAATACATTTTAATTCAAATATTACATAATACACTCATTAAAAATTCACTATTTTTGGTTTAAAATTTAAGGTAGATAAACTTAAAAATGCAATTATACGTATAGATGCAAAAACCAACTGAATCGACTATACTTATATTATATTTTAATAACTAAACAGAGACAAATGTTAGAAAGTATGTTGAACCGAGTATGTACCAAATTATTTTCTTTCCTCTCCTCTTTTATTTTTTATTTTTATTTTAGATTGTATAGTGAAAGACAACCATTTCTTATCTCTTATAATCACAACCTACCTACATGTTATGTAATTTCAATTCATGATCTCTTTTTCTGCCGCTAAATTACTTAAATCGTTAGCTCCTTTCTCTCCTCTTGTTTGGTTAGAATACATAAAATCCAAAAAAAATTAAAATAAAACAAAGGAAAGCTGCTCTCCTTCTCTCTATGTTTTCTATCCGAAACCGAATAGAAAAATTTCTCTACTTCCCCCACCCCCCAAACCAACCCAGCTATTAAGGCTTAAACCCACAAAAGAAACGCACACATTAAATTACCAATTAGTACCATTAAGGCATTGGTCCAACAATCATTACTAAGGCCAACATTGGAACTCTAAATTTTTAAAGCCACTTTGTTTTTCATCAATGTTATTCTCAAGATGGGTTGTACAGTCAATTTGTTGTTCATCAATGTTCTCTCAAGATGGGTTGTAAAGTCAATTTGTTGTTCATCAATGTTATTCTTAAGATGGGTTGTAATCCGATTGGAGTAACCATTATGTTTCCATCAATGAAATTTTGATTCATCAAGAACAAAATATAGTGTACTCAGATATAGTTAGGAGAAAAGAGATTGAGTAGATTTTAGCTCCTGTTGGGAGTATGAGGTACTCTATAAGGAACCAGTCAAACTTGGATTTTTTTTTTTTTTTTGGTGGGGGATATGACTAACTAGGACATGGTTGACGTTGAAAGATGAAATAATCCACATGGAAAATAATAAATCAAGCTTAATTAGACCATAGTGATTACGAGAAATTGTTTGATTGTGAAAATGCATCAAAGACAACAAAACAACGTGGTTTATGGAGGTTCCGTAATCTGTCCAACCCCATAAAGTGGAAGGTCTAATTGGACCACAAAAAATCAATACCCACAGCCACCGGCTGGATCACTACTTATGTTTTTGCAGAAATCCACATCAACTATATGTACAACTCTAATTCATTTTTAAAACCATCTAAATTCATCAACATTCAATTCCTACCAAAATTCAAATAATTTAATTTTAAAATAAATATAAATCATTGATTGATATCTATATATATATACACACCTCGATATTTCTTAATCAATTATCCTTTTCCTTTGAAAATGGATGAAAATGCAAGTCGTTCATGTTGGACCATACTATGAAAAGAATGGATGATAGGATTGTTGTCATCGAAAAGTGGCAACCATCTTTAAGGACCCGATGGTAGATGATTTTTTGAGAACTTAATTTGCAAAATAGATAGCTGTCAATGCTTAATTAGTCAAATACATGTGAATTCATGAAACGTCGAGAGAGTTGTGTCGCTCATAGAAGGAGATGGGAGATAGAAAATAATGAGAAAAGGCGGAATAAGACTAAAGAGAATGAGTGAAGACATCCAAAAATGAATAGCCTCTCCCCCATTGATGCCGAGGCTAAATCTTAGTCAAAATGCCCTCCATTGGTACGAACATAACTCCCATCCAAAATTACCTTTCCCTCTAGTTAGGCTATTGTGGGGAATTAGGCAGCTAGTTATCGAGTTCCTTGAATATGTGTTTTTGGGTTTTGGCCCATTGTAGGTCCAATTTAGGGTATAACAAGCACATAATCTTCATTATTCCCCACTTTATTTTTTTACTATTATTATGTACATTGCTGCATTAATATGTGTAATTTCCTGGCTTTTAATTAATATATCAAGGAATGTCTGCTTTAACATTTTTAAAACAGCTATCACTTTATCAATTGTTTTGGATTATAAATAATAATAATTATTAACCATAAGATATCAATTATTGTTAATTATCAACAACATTTGAACCGTTAATTTAAGCATCTCTTAATTAGTAGTCTTTTTCGTGGATTTTGTTTTCACTCTTTGGATTTCCAATTTTCCTTTTGGAGCTCCATATATCATTATAAATTGTATCCCTTCTTTGTTAATTTAAATGATTAATCGAGATGGGAAGATACATGTATTAATGTATATTTTTATAAATTACACACACCTAAGATTTCTTTGATGGGATTATTGAGTATCTTCAAAATATTCAATTACAATATTTGGTATTTATATAGGTGTTTATTGAAAATTTTCAAACACTAAACTAGTAAAGTCAATGCTTAGGGACTTGAATGTTTATGGTAATAGAAAGCTAAAAGCACGGTGTTCCTTAATTACACAATTTCATTATTAACAATTGGACATGGTAAACCTAATTTAACATGTATAGTTGACTCCTTTTATTCAAAGGTCATCTACCTATAAATTTTTTTTTTGAAAAGCCAAATAATATTTTTAATAAAAAACTGAGTACAATGGGTACTCAAACCCATTTACAAACATGCAAAAATACAAACCAATTCAAGTTACCCCCATCTTTCAAACCTATCCTTCTCCAATTTATTTATTCCCCCCCACAGTTAATAATAAGGCATGAGATTGGATCCTGCATGAAATTGGATCTTGCAACCAATCTAAAAGATTGAAGTAACATCTATATATAATATTGTATGTATTTGCTTATTTAATATCATGTATATATACACCTGCCGTTTTCTATTCAAAGGTTTACGAATAATATTATACGTATCTACTTATTTAATACCATTAAATTGTCAATAAAATTGTATAGATAAAATTATGTGTGTATCATCTTTAATTTGTATAGTAATAGTTCAACAATAAAAATTATGAATTTTTTTTGGTATATGATAGACTATATAATAGAAGATAATCCTTTATTTTCTCTCTCCCCACATATCTCAAGATTTAAATTCAAAATTTTGAATTTAGAGTCTCAAGGTGAAAATTATGATTTAATAGTAGTGGCAACGTTTGTTAATTTTTTTTTTTCAATGAATAACGTTTGTTAAAATTTGTCTTCCAATAAAGTAATTAATTTGAGATGAAAAAGAAAAGACTATTTTTTTCTTTGTTAAATGCATATGGTTTCCTTAAATTGTTAAAGCCTTAATTACTAGACAATGGCAAAAGTATAGTCCTATAACTGCCTCTAATTTTTTACACTTATAAATGAGCCCTTTTATGAGAAAGTTACTCCCCAAACCACCTTTGAAAAATCAATTACTCCCTAAACTCATATATTCTCATTCTAATAAAATCTAAATTTACCCTTTTAATCACTAATTAGTCATCAATACTACAGAAAGTGATTTGCAATTTTGGGTTTAATAGATACATAATCCAACAGATACAAATTATATATAATTAAGCATACATATATGTATATATATATAGTTTAGTTTAGGGAGAAAAACAACAAAAAGGCTCGAAATGGATTTGATAAATAAAGCTGAAGTACACTGATCCATGTAATAATTGAGAAATCTTCGGCCACCGGCCGGAGAATGACAGCCGCAGGACTGCAGGAGGAGGATGCAGCAGCGCCACCGTCCACCTCAACTTTTTTCTCTCTTTGCAGGACCAGCAGCATGATAAAGTCAAAACTCGAACCTAACAAGAGAAACATGTACTCAATCTCTCTCTCGCTCAACCTGACATCGCTTTATGCTTGAACCTGAAAATAAACTGGGTTATAAAAAAAAAAAGAAAAAAGAAAAAGTGATATGGAAAATATTGGTAAGTAAAAACAACAACAATAATAAATGAAGACGGTATCCATGATAATGTAAAAATGAGGTTGAGAGCAAATTTCATGGGTACCATATACTGACTGTTGGGTTATAGGATTAGGACCAACTGGCGTTTTGGGACTTTAGCGGAAGAGGAGACAGAGAGAGAAACCAAATGCTGAAAACGACAAGCTCACATGAGCAGAACCAGATCATTCATGGGCCCCTACGTAGTATTTCACCATTACCCCCACCCTCTCTCTCTCTCTCTCTCTCTCTCTCTCTCGTTCTCAATTTCACATGCCCTCCCTTTCTTTAATCTTTTAAGAACCAAAAAAGAAACCAAACTATCCCTTCACTTTGCCACACAGAACCTTCGAGGGAGAAGAATTTAGCCTAACTCCTCCTTATCTACATTTTTTTTCTTCCTCTGTTCTAATGCTAGCTAGGTCAACCAGCAAAAAAAAACAAAGAAGGAAAAACCCACTTGGTCCTGTCTGATTCTTGATATGGGTTTGTCTTGTTTAGGGTTTTGAGTGTGTAAAGGTGAGACCTTTCTCTTGGGTTTCAAAGATCTGGGAGAGAAAATCATTCAAATTTGAAGGGGAGGGGTATGTGAAGTTGTGTGAGTTTATTTTACCATAAAAAAGATGGTAGCTTAATAGACTCACCTTTTTTCCTTTCTTCCTTTTCCATTTCACCATTGATCCTATGGTGGGATTTTGATCTGAATCATACAATATATTGGGTCATTAAAGAAGGTAAATTTGGAGGTGGGTCATGATGAACTTTGTGCTAGAGGAAAAAGGGTATTGCAATAATGAAGAAGAAGATGATGAGGAAGTGATAGGAGGGAATACCGCAAGTGAGTTCCCATTTTCCTCTTCCTCTTCTTCCGCAAATTCTCCCAAGTACAAAGGTGTTTTCAATCCTGATAATCAGCATCGGCATCAAAACCTATGGCTGTTGGGTTCGCTTGATAATTCTCAAGAAGATCAGTGCCGAATGCAAGGAGCAGCAATGAATTTTGACAAGAAACTTGAGCTCATGGACTTGTCACTTGGCAGCAATGATGAATCCAACGGAAGTGGAGGCGGAGGAAGAGGGTTTGGAGCTGGCGGCGGAGAAAGTAGCAACTCTGTTGAGAAAGAGCACATGTTTGATAAAGTTGTGACCCCAAGCGATGTTGGAAAGCTCAACCGCCTGGTCATACCCAAACAACATGCCGAGAAGTACTTTCCGCTCGACTCTTCGTCCAACGAAAAGGGTCTTCTCTTGAATTTCGATGATCGGAACGGGAAGTCGTGGCGGTTCCGCTACTCTTACTGGAACAGCAGCCAGAGCTACGTCATGACTAAAGGGTGGAGCCGTTTTGTCAAGGAGAAAAAACTGGAAGCCGGTGATGTCGTGTCGTTTCAGCGCGGCGTTGGGGAGTCGGGAAAGGACAAATTGTACATTGATTGGCGGCGCCGACCTGATGCACCGAATCCCTCTGCTCTTGCACACATACAATATCACAACCAGCTTAACTACTTCTCTCAACCAGTCGGTTGGAGCAGGCTCTATTCGCTGCCGCAATCCGTCTCCCTGCCACCGCGAAATTACGAGCCCTTACACCGACTGAATTACAGTATTTACCCATACAATCACCATCATCAACATCAACAGCAAGGAATTGCCTACGCCAATGTAGCGCAGAATTACCTAAGGTCATCCGGGTCATCACTTTATCACCAAAGCCAAATTGGGTCGGCTCCGGAGACGGGCGGTAGAGTCCCCATGGTGATTGATTCAGTTCCTGTGGTTCAAGGCCAAACGGCGGCCAAACGGCTGCGCCTTTTCGGCGTAAACATGGATTGTCCTGTTGAGGATGAATCATCACCCACCAACATCCATCGTGGGAAAGTGGTAGCTTCATTTCCTCCTCCTCCTCAATCAAGGTCCCAACTGCAACAATTCGAGTATTCAAAAAAGGGAAAATCCTCCTTATCCTTTGATTTGGATCCATAAGAAATTCAGCATATCTTTGTTTCTGTTTTTGCTGTCTCTTGTTAATTTTTAATTGTCTCACTACTATAGTTTGTTGAGGTTTGGGATCTGTGAAAGAGGCACAACCTTATGAATGAATGATGGGAAGATCAGGAAGATGATAAATTGTGTATAAATATTACAGAGACAGAAATATCTTATTTTCCTTTACTAGGCCTTGGATTTCCAATTGCCATCTTTCCCTTTACCCAAGTTTGTTTTGACTGGAGATCATCAAGTTTGCCATCTTTCTCTTCCTCTTTAGTTACAACATTCAACTGTATATTCTCTCCATTTTGCAGAATTTGCCTTCCCTTTCCCTTCCTACTTTTTCCTTCTCTTTCCCTCAGTTTCTCTCTCATCAGCTTGTGGCCACTGCTCACCCAAGCAGACCTGCAAGGCAAGCATGGAAAGTTGCAGCTCCATAAAAGGTAAAATCTGTATTCTTATTCCTAAAAACTTCATTTCCAATACTTCTTTAGAATTTATTTTTTATTTTTTTTCCTTCCTGGTTATCTTTCGTGTTTCTCTACAGCCATGATCTTGTTTTTGGACTGCTATATGTCTACACACATTGAAGAAATTAAAAGGAAAAAAAAAAAGGGCAAGTCCATTCTGGTTAATTAGGGGGGTCTTGGAAAGAGGTACATTTTTGAGACTACTGAACTACAAGTACTGAGAAGTTTAATGCTTTCTGGGATATATTTGTTCCATATGGTCCAGTATGTCGAGCAATTCTATTCATCTTGATTAGTTGTTACTGATCATATAAATTAATATGTTTATACATATATATATATATATATATATATATATCATAATGTTTATTTTAATGTCTTTTGTGCCATACACCAAATTTCTTGGTGTGCAAGATTAATGCATATGTTAGTTAGTAGTAGTCTGTCAGTATAGATGTTCCTATTAATAGTGATATGTACACAGTATACTACAGGAATGGGCTTTAAAAACAACAGTAAAACATATAAAATAAATGATGAAAACAGAAGAGAACAGTCTTGTTCTCTGCTTTGATCTTGCATGTGCTGTTGTATGCCCATAGGCATGTCGTCTGCGTTTGTGGTCACTGGTCTATATATAACGTTTTTTGAAAGGCAAAATTTTTTTTTTGAAAGGCGGTCACTGCAATTCTATATTGTTAACTCAGTAGCTTCTTGGAGTACTTTACACATGACATCTTCCATATATAACTAAATTCTGGGCTCAATTATTATCGAAGGGTGCAGTTCAAAAAAAACATTATTATTGAACTGTAGTGTAGCTAGCTAAACTGGACTTGGGTTCATTTGATAGTATAAATCTAATTTCTCCTTGCTGTTTGATATATATGATCACGAATTAGGTAATTTAAAGTAATACACTACATAATGCTACATATGCATGAATATATAACATAAACTTCAGTTTTACACCGATTCTAGTTTAATTGGGAACTCTTTACTTTATTGAAATGCTACCAATGTTACACTTCTGAAAGAGAAAACCAAAACCCTAGAAAGCCAAGAGCAAATTTCTAAAAGAGAAAGCCAACCCGGGACCGGAATATTTTCATACATATATAATTTATTTCCTTTCTTGGTTAATCAAGTGTTTTTTTTTTTTACAATATGATCATCCTTTTTGCATATATAATCTCATTTGCATGCTATTCATATATATATATATATATATGCTACGTACTGCAGTGATTTAGTGGTGTTTATGTTCATCATTTCATGCAGAATATATATGCAGTACGGAAAAATGTTTGATTAATTGACTAAAGAATATCATATGCAAAAGCAGTAATCTTTCTTTAATTTTACTTCTCCATCTTAATGGCGTCTAGTACGATGTCAAAAACCAAAATTTAATTCCGTTGATTTTTTTAAGGTGGAGGTTGATATATATAGAATATTTCAAGCCATATATATATATTAAGATTTGTTTCATTCGAGGTGTAATTCAAACTCTTCAATATCATAGGTCATACAAAGGTGCATCTTTCCATAGTTAGATAGAAGTAAAATAGATTATGGTGACAGATTAGGTTCCATGAACATCACACTATATCTAGACATACACAGTTCTCCAACATTCATATTTATGTGTAAATTATCAATATAAGCAACTGACTTTTACTTCTTGACTTGGGAAGTTACCGAGTAGTATAGGCAGTATATGTAGTTTATCTTTATCCACACTTTTCTAAGCATTGAACCAGTTTAACCAATCAGAGCCATGAATATATAAATTAAGCTGTAATTTTCTAATTACGTTCATATATTTGCTTAACTAAATGCCTGCATGTTTCTTCACACATCAAAAGCATATATAGTTTTTTCTTTCCAGGTGTACTAGTCAAATTAATATATTGATTGCATGATTCTCAAGTTAACATTTTAGATTTAGCATTGCACATATTGGGATTAATTTCAGTTAATTATAATATTCTTATTTTGAAGTTGAAGATCCAGTTATTGCTCCAATGCAAAATTGCAGTAAACTGATCTGATCTCTCATCATACAGTTACCTAGATTACATAAAATTAATCTTGCTTTTCTATAATCAACATGCTGTCATAAACTGATATATACTACGATTAACCGTCTAAATAAAGACAACTTGGTCCATTTTTTTTAATTTTTCGTGTACATTCTTAAGATTAGAGAAAGAATTAATTTCCTGATCTCCCTCTCAAAATATCAATACCCTAACTGCTACATGATGCATGAACATGAGTTTTCATAATTCAGATTCTCGGTTGCCTAGCTGTAAGATTCTTCAAAATTAAACTAGCGGATGCATTATGTGTGGTTGCACGTATGGTCTACTCAAGGGACTGTTATTTGGTTTAAATATAACCAATGCTCTTTTTTTTTTTTTTATCAACAAAACAAAATAAAATTTTATTATAAGTGGAGTACAAGGGGTACTCATATCCCTTTTAAATAATTTGTACAAAATACATCAAAATAAAAAATTCAAATCCATATCACAGCTAATCAATGTAATCAGCCATGTAATTTCAGCTGTTTATGAAATTATTTCAAACTACTTTTATACCTTCTTACCTCTACAGCACACTCATCTTGCCTTGACAACTATCCTTGAACTGAGAAGACACACCCCTCCATTTTATGCTTAATCCACAGAAATGATTTAGCCTGTACAGCACTTAACACCGGTTCCCCAAAAGTTCCCTCTTTTTCAAACACTATGGTGTTTCTCCAATACCACATATACCAAGATATAAGCAGAAAAATACAAGATAACCAAAGCAGTAAGGAAGTAATTCCTTAAGGATCATGATCATATACATATAGATAGACAACATGAACTTAAAAACTAGATTAATGTTACATCAAAAACATTGGGCGACAGAGACGGAGATATTTTAAAAACCATACAATACACATGGAGGAAGATTTTGCATTTGTTAAAAACAAAATATGTACTATACCAAAAGGAGAGAGAGAGAGAGAGAGAAAGCAACATGGGAGCATTATATAGTTGAAAAAGGACTCATTAATTTCCATCACAAAGATTCGTATAAGCTTAAAAGTCATTGAAATTGAAGTACCCTACCCCTATAAAGATGGGGCGAGCATGCAATAGGGCTTAGATATAATTGATTATTATGATAAAAGGAAGCCCACATGAGGTATGGGACTACTCCTCAGTAGTATACATACACCCCCTTGCCTTCTTCTCCTTGCTCAACATCATCATCATCATCATCATATCATCCTTGGTTTTGTTTTTCTTGATTTTTGGCTTGAATTTCCACTTATGCTGAGGCTGTTTTGAAGAAGAAGAGAGGCGTGGGATGCATAAACACTCTTCGAGAAGTACTGTTTGGCTAAGCTGAAATTGCATGGACCACGTTCTATTGTTTCCATGTATTTAATGCTATCTTCCTACTTTTAATTTCTAGCTTCCTTTGGCATTATATTTATACCACCACTTCTCGGCTTTCTTATAAGTTGATTCTTAATCATGTATAAAGCAAAAATCGAAAGAATGAATGGTGGCATTGTTTTTTGGATGTAATTCAAGAAAAAAAAAAAAAGGTAGTGACATTGTTTCTAGAAAACTCAAATAATAACGGTTAAGTCATCCTAAAGTTGTTTGCAATGAGTTAATGAACTTAAATCCTCAATTTTTTTTTCTTTTTTTTTTACTTAAAGCTGTTTGTTTTTGTATCCATTTATATTATTTTAAACAAATTTAGAAAGTGAAACAGTATAATTTGATTTCTTAATTAGTCAACTTATTAAATTCACATAAATTAGAGACATTCATTCTCCACTCACAACGGGTCCATATAATTGAGATATGTCATTCTAATATATTTTTAAGGAAAATAATTTTGGAATAACATTTTTGTAATATTTTTTGATACAATCTAACGTGTTATTTAAATAATTGATTCTTTTTATTCATGTAAGACCCATGATATTAAATGTATTCACTTAATTAATGACATGTACAAGTTGTATAAAATATAACACCTCCCTATTCTTAATTGATTCTTAATTTTTATGGTGGAATATTCTAAATTTCTTTTTAACTTGTTAAGGTTAGGATTATGGAGAAAGTAAAGTGAAGTTTCTAATTAAGTATCTTAGCCTTTAGATCAAACAAAATCGATGATGTATAAGCAAAAGGGCTTTGGCTGTAAATCCCACATTGTGTGGAATTGAGCCAACCTTCGCTATTTAGGCGTGTTTGGTATACTAATTAAAATTCAACAAATAGCAAGTAGTGAGTAACGAATGGCGATTATCAGATAGCAAGTGACAGATAATAAAAAATGGATAATCGATAATAAATAACGGATTTGATTAATATAATTATTTGGTTATACAATAGTTAGTGGTTACTGTTCAACGTTAAATAACTAATAAAAACATGTTTAAAAAAAATTAAATGTATTGTTTTTCTTTTATATATTTTATTATTAAAATTATTGATATTATAAAAATAATAAGAATAAAATAAATAAAACAAATTATAATAGTGTAGTAACACACGTTTTTTTATTTTTAATAAAGAAAAAATTATATTATTTTAAATAAAAAAATTTTAATAATTTTGTCTAATTAGTAAACTTTATTTATTAAGTCAATATATTTTTTTATAATAAATTAAAGTAAAAATGAAAATATAATAATCACTTAATTATTAAAGACAAAAAATGAAGTTAAAACTAATTAAATAAGTATTAATTAAAAATCATGACCAAAAATTAAAAAATTAAAAAAGATAAAATTTTCAATAAAATTTAAAAATTTCAATTTACGAATAGTTTAACCCTAACTACAATCCAATAATTCTAAACTATTGAATAAAAAATTTTATCGAACATCTTATTTATAATGATTTTGAAATATATAAATTTACTAAATGTTAATCTTTAATAATTTGTGTAAAACTATACCTAAGCTTTCAAGTAGAGTGACATTAGTTACATTGAACAGATGCACTCCTTCTTTTTTTAGCAGGTTTAATCCCGTTCCATATCAAATTATTCAAAATAATAATAATAATAATTTGTATAAAACTACTATACACTACTCTCAAACCACTATACAAATAGCCCATAGTGTCTTTTAAAGAGTGTGTTACCTAAATGGAGAATGAACATTAGATTCCTTAGGACGTCGAATACATTCAAAATAAATAATTTGAAGATGGAGTAAAAGAGAAAATAATATTTTTTTAAGCTAATTTCACATCAAGGTCAATGATCAAAGTTTGACTAAAATATCAGGCCAGATTGCAACTTAAGCCCAATCGAAATGATTGGGCCTGCTTATAAGACCTACTACAAAATTAATTATCATGTGGGCTCATATGTGGGACAGGCCCGAACCCATTCAGAAGGAAATGAATATTAGGAATTTTGAGGAAATGATTTTATTTTCCGACCACGTCGACGGCGACGCGGTGATTTTCCGATTGAGGAAACTCCTCGATACAACAAAATTTAGCGGGAAATAGAAAAATCCAATCTTCTCTGGACTAATTAGCCTCCTCTGAGGTTTGTTCGAATGGAGTACAGGTGTGTGCAGTGTGGGTTTCGGTTCAAAACCCTGTTCGTGCAGTACTCTCCCGGAAACATTCGACTCATGAAATGTGTAAGCTCCGATTTCCGCTTCCTTTTGGTTTCTCCTCTTGATATATCGTTTTCCCAGTTTATTGCTTAATTTCTCTGAACTTTGTTTTATAGGGGAATTGCGGAGCAGTTGCCGACGATTACATTGAATGTGAATTCATGGTAAGAACCCTAACAGTTTGTAAAGTTAATAGCCAATTCAAAGGTGCCCTTTTTGAATTCTGGGTTTGCTTAAAGTTGACTCTTTTTTGTTGGGTTTATTTTAGTTAATATTCTTGGGTCTGGTTTGTCCATTGGTGTAGATACTTTTGATTGATTTAATCTTGCACAAGCCAAAAGCATATAGGCATCTACTTTACAATGTGCTCAATCAAGACGCTGCCCATTTCCAGGTACAAGAAAATATGTTATCTTTCTCCTGCCATTCTTTTTCCTTTTAGTTTGATTCGAAACAGTGAATTTAGATCTCAATAGTATTGTAGTTCCGTTTTTGGTAAATAATAGTTTTGTAGTTCTTGCATTCTGGATATTAAGATATGATTTTGAAAGCTTTCAGGGTTTGTTGTGGAAGTCATTGCTGGGTTTTCTTCTTTTGGATGCTTGTATCCTTTGCTTTAAAGTTTTATTACTGTATCATAGTCTTCATATCAATGAATCTTCAAACTCTTGATGCTTAAAATAAAATGCCTTAACAATCTAAGACAGAAGCTGGCTTTTAAGAAGAAGAGATGAAGAATGGGGGTTGATGACGAGCATCTCATCTTTAGGATGGACAGTTGGGAAGGTTTGTGCAAGAATGCAAATGTATTTTAGATACTGTGTTTGGTCAGTTTGGATCAAACATGATTTCTAATGAATGCCTCTAAAATGCTTATTGTAGATGTCAATCAATGTGTTTTTTGGAAACCTCATGTTTCTTTTTACTTTTCTTATTGCCATGAGGATTCTGCTGAAGACATCAGGTGTAGTTTCCAGGTAGGAATTTGCATTATCTTGGTTATTTTCGTTTACTAACCTTTACATCGGCCTATGGTTTATTGATCTTTAAGTTGTCATTTAGTATTCATGACAGGGTAGTGAATTGAGAACTGCATGAGAGAATGGGGGTTAATATTCTCTAGTATAGTAACTGATATATGGCTTGTGCTTCCCAAACTTTACAGGTTCAGGGACCTTTTGCTGGCAATTCTCATTTCAAGTTACTTCAAGATATTTCTCGTTGCCATGATGGTCTGACTTCATAATGCTAACTAACTTGTTGATTTGCAGTAGTATTTTTTCCCATAATCTGAATATTTCCCTTCTTTTCTCTTTCCATGATTTGACCCATTTGAGTCCTGTCTATGACATCTATTAGACTTCAATACCCACTATCTAACTTCTGCATTTTTGTACAGGTCTGGGAATTTCCATCTTCAGTGATTTTCATCATTGATTTATTTGTTTTATCATGTAATGCAGTGGCATTAAAAGGTTAGATACCACTTCTAATTTTTACAGCACAAACTTGTTTAAAATCTTCCTAAATACTAACTACCATCTGCCAGCAGGCACCCTAATGTAATTGATATTATGAAACTTAGTGTTTTTCATCAGAAAGTCTGACAAGTTTCTATTTCCCGTGAACCAGTGACCACTGAGTCAGCCATGAACTGCTGTGTGGGGGTCTGCCTCAGTGCACATGCTGTAAAATTACTTACCACACAGAATTTTGAGTTGAGATAATTGATATTCAAATATTTTTAGTTTGATTTTGTCTTCCTGTAAACCTTAATTCTTCCTTTTCCTGTCGTACTTCAGCTGCTTTATCGGTGATTTTTTTTAATGTATGAACTGTTAGCTAAAAAAGAGGTGACCATCCCTAATTCCAGGCCTTAATCGCCATATTATTATGTTTTATCTGGGTTGGCAACTTCGGAAAAGGGGCGATATGTGAAGTTTTCAGTGGAACTCTATTAATTTTTAATGTGTAACATCCTCTGGTAATGCGGGGTGGTGGCGCAGTTGGCTAGCGCGTAGGTCTCATAGCTTCCTGAGTTATCCTGAGGTCGAGAGTTCGAGCCTCTCTCACCCCAACTTTTTTTCTCTTTACCAAACTATAATATATAAATCATTCAAAGAAGGCCAAAAACACATAAAAATAAAAGTCATTAGATTACTTGACACATGAATATGGAAAACAGGAAGGAAAAACAAAAATTTGTGAATGAATTAAAAATTTATTGATGTTAGTACAAGGATACTACAAGCCATACAAAACAAATACAAATGTAGTGGCGTAACCCTTATGCTCCACAAAAAGTTGAAACGGCAAAAAAATTCAAGACAGCGGTAGAACACATGGATAAGGAAAGGAAAAACAAGCTTATCAGGGCAAAGGATACAACCACCACTTCTTCCATGGATCCTGGCATAACACATACATTTACATCATGAATTTTTGCCCTGTTATCCAGAAAAGTAAAGTGAGAAAGAGTAAGAAGACTGCTACTCACATTTGTTGCAGCTACTATAGACTACACATGAAGAGTAGATACATCAAGATGATAAACTAGGCAATATGGGACTGTCGATACCGTGTTAAGATTCAATACCCATTTGAACTTGAAGTATTACTGACCTGAAAATGGAAAAGGATATACCTTAGCCATGGAATGCCTTGGACTTCCGACTCAATGAGAACTAGATAACATAGATTGAGCCATACAGGGTTAGATTAGCTTAAAATTTTTATACTTTAAGCATTACCTACCATAACCAGGTCCCAGATAAAGCTATGAATAAAATTATGCCTAGAAGTGCATTGAAAATGTATACCGATGGAGGACTAGGCTTGTGCATCAGTGGAGGCGTTTCTGGGAATATGAATAGATCCTTTCGGTCACTACCGGCTAACCCTTTTGAATGCATTTTCAACCGCTTTTTCGGACTGGTTTCTCGTGCAGTTTTGTGGTCTATATTAGATTCCCTGATGGCATTTTCATTTTGGGGCAGATGCACTGCAGTGACAGGTTCTTTAACATCTCGGGCCTGCAAAATGAACTCGTGCTTTATTAAATGAAATTCTGAATCCAAATCGGGGTTTCATTTGAAGAACTTCTTTCCTCCATTAATATACAGATTAATCCCTGTATTTTCAATTAATGCATCCTCACCTTGTCTCCGGATAATTTCAACTCCCGGGGGTTTCTTTCTGGAACAGGTTCCTTATCTATTAAATTAATATTCTTTATTTGATATTGAGATTTGTGGGTTCTCATATCAACCGGATATTCTTGCTCTTCCAAGGCAATGCTATTCATGAAATCTGGTGTACTTGCCGCAGAGCTGATAAAAGTAGTGTTTTCTCTGAACTGTTCCTGCACAGGATGCTGTACAGAGGAGAGAGTTGTAGATGATACTTCAACTGGTGGCAATTGCCGGAATGCACTTGAACCAGCATGATCATCTTCTGGCCAGAAACACTGTGGCAAAAATCAATAAGTAAGTCACATTCATGTCATGATTTGTGACACATCACAACAGAAGGTATTGTTTGCTTTGCCTTTAAGCCTCAAGATTTTGCCCTCATGAGACTCTAAAGAGTCGGAGTGAACAATACCTCATAATGAAAGGCAACGCAAATCCTCACATTTGACTTTGACGAAAAATCTCAAGTGACAGCATTCAAAAACATGCAGAAGTTCTTACAGGTGAGTCATCAAGAATGCAAGTGTCCTTTGGTTGGATGAAGTATTATTTACATGGTTTTTCTTTATAAAATGGGTAGGGAAAAACTAATAAGCATGATTATTCCATGCTTAAAACATTTTTTCTTCATATAAAAGAAAATGAACAGGACTAAAACCAATGGGAGGTAATAATAACTATTCCCTTTGTATTCCAACTTATTAGAAGGAAAAAAAGTTGCATGGAATAATCATTCCAAATTAACCTTACCCTCCTTTTATTTTACTTATGTTTATGCAAAAATGATAGAATCAAGATCCCATTCAACCAAACATGACCAACCTAAAACTTAAACATGATTTAGCCTTTTAGCTAGCTGTGCTTGTATCCAGAAAGGCGAAGAGACCATTTTGACTACCTGGGCCAGTACTGAACTGCACGAAGTTAATCTACAAAAGAAATACTCTTAAAATTAATTCACATTCAAGAAGGTAAGGGAAAAGAGCAGGTTAAGAAAAAGGAATGGTTTCCTTCCTCTCCTTTCTTTCCACCCCTTTACCCTCTTCTCCTTTTCATTCCCATCACACAGACTAAGTGTACCATTGTTACAAACAATACCGTCTATAGTTCTCCAATTTCCTCAACAGACTCTACAAACCCATAGAATGATTCACTTCACACATAAATTATGATATGATAACATATCTTGACAATATTACTGCCCCAATAAAACTCTCTACAGAGCCAATTTGCTACTGAAAGCGACATCTTTTTACCTGTGTTAAAA